CATCCTGGGTACATCATCCCTGCATCCCAGAGACACATTGTCCCTGCATCCTAACATCCCGGGCACAGCATCTCTGCATCCCAGCATCCTGGGTACATTATCCCTGCATCCCAGGGACACATCATTCCTGTATCCCGGGCACACACCGTACTTGCATCCTGAAATCTCAGGTACACATCATCCCCACATTCCGGGCACACACTGTCCCGGCATCCTGGGCACACACGATCCCCACATCCCAGGATCCCGGGCACACATGACCGCTGCATGTCAGACACCCCAGCCCTACACTGCAGGATCCTGGCCACGTGTTTCCCCTACATCCCGGGATCCTCAGCCATCCATCACCTCTGCATCCCTGGATCCTGACTACATATCACAGTTATATCCCGGGCTCCTGACCATATACCTGCATCCCGGGACCCCCATCCACGTGTCACCCCTATCCTGGGACACCCGTCCACGTGTCGCCCCCATCCCGGGACCCCCGGCCGGGCAGTTCAGCCCCACGTGTCCCCCTGCCCAGCCGCCCCCCGCCCCCATTAGCGGGCTGCGCTGCTCCCGAGGCGCCGTTAATTGCTCTGCTCGTTACAGGAACAGCTCTAATCACTCACAACGATTTTCACGTCCCAGGGCGGCTCAGCTGCCCACCCCCCTCCCCTACCGCCCCCCCTCCCTTGCCCACCCCCGGCTCTCCATTAGGATCGAGCCCACCCGCAGCTGAGGCTCCGCTGTGGCCACCCCAAAACGGCGCTTCCTGGAGCGGGGTTGGGCACCGAGGGGTCGCGGGCTGGGGACATCCGGAGCTGGGGACCTGGCGTGGAAGTGACCCCCCCCCCGCGCCAGTGCTTTTCAAGGTGTCCCCAGGGCGGTGTGGAAGGATTGCTCGGGGACACTTCAGCGGCACTTCAGGGCCGAGATGCCTTTGCAGCCCCCCCGAGAGCCCCCGGAGCCGGAGAGGACGGAGACCCCCAAGTGCACTTCGGTGTGGTTGGGGGCTGTGCGGGGTCCCTCCCTTGCAGGGCCAGGACACAGCTGCATCCTCAACTCCGATGTCCCCCCATCCATCCACCCCATCCGGGGGGGGAGGAACCCCAAAACACGTCTGGTCCCTCTAGAGGGGACCTGGGGTCGCTTTAGTAGCTTCAGGGGGGTGGGACCTCCCCCAAAGAGCAGATCCAGCCCTGCCACGGTCTGAGCCTGCGGCAGCGGGGAGCAGGAGGGTGGCTCAGCCGGGATGGGACCCTCTGGGCAGGATGCGGCCGGGGACCACCCAGCCGGGCTGCAAGAGGCAGAATCGGGGCCGAGACCCCCCAGGTCTGAGGAACCCGGGTTAGCGGGGCCAGGCCGCGGTGCCGCTGGGGCGGCAGCTCCGCTTGGGAGCGGAGCCGTTAATTACCTCATTGCCAGAGTCCATTACCGCTCCCCCCGGAGCAGTGAAATGGAGAAACTGCTGCAGGAGGGAGGGAGGCGGGGATCCAATCGATCGCGGGGGGAGCCTTAACTCTTCCCTGACCACCCTAAGGGGGAAACTGAGGCACAGCCACCCCCACGGGGGGAACCGAGGCATCGCCACCCCGGGAGGGAAACTGAGGCACGGCGGCAGGGAAGCCCTCCCTGTTTCGGGGGGGGGATGTCACCACCGCACACGGTCCCTTTTGGGGCGTTGGTCTGTGGCAATCTCCAACACGGGGCTGGAAAAGCTCAAGGTTCTAATCTAGTTCCTTCCTCAAATTAGATAAGAGGGAAAAAGGCCATAAATCAACGTGGGCAGCAATTAGAGACCCCAAAGAAGCAGGTGGGGGGCTCTGCCAGCCCAGCTGAGCTCCAGCAGGACCAGACCCTGCCCGTGCCAGCTCCTCACATCCCAGGGCCGGACCCTTGACAAAGATCCAGGGCCTGACAGAGGGGCTTGAGCCCTGGGCTGGGGGCTGGATCCGGCCCCAGGGCAGGGTTTTGGGATGGATTACGGGCTGGGAGCTGTGGGGTGCTGGGGTTGCCTCTGATTTCCTCCAGTTCTTGTTGTGCCACACCCAGCCCTGGCCACCCAGCACAGCCACGTGCTCTGTTGGCCCCAAGCCCCCTGGTACCTGCCACAGACCCCCCCCAGCTGCTCCCACCTTGTGCCGTGCCTCAGTTTCCCCCACGACCCCGCTTTCCTCCCCGCTTATCTCGGGTCACGGGGGGTAACAAAGGAGCTGCCAGGGCCCTGCCTGTGCTGCCTAATTATCCAGATGAAATCAATTCAGCTCCATTATGGTCAAATCCAGGTCTCAACCATTACCAAGGCGGCTGGAGAGCCCGAGGAAGGATGATGGAGTGGACGCTACAGGGCATGTGATAACCCCTGGTTCTGACGAGAGGGCGCAGGGAAGGGGGGATGATGCCCTTGGGTGGGGGGTGTTGGCTCTGTGCTGTGAAGTCCCGTCCTCCCCCTGGGCCCCTTGGCGAGGGGACTCAGGTGCCCCGGGCCAGGGTACGGCACCAGCATCCCTGGGGCCCTGCCCAAGGGGGTCCCTGTGGCGCAGCCAAAAAAATCCCCCTCTGGGCTGAGGATGAGGACATCATCCCTGCATCCCAGGCACACATCATCCCTGCATCCCAGGTTCCTGGGTATACATCCCTACATCCCAGGCACACATCATCCCTGCATCCCAGGCACACATCATCCCTGCATCCCAGGTTCCTGGGCACACATCATCCCTGCATCCCACGTTCCTGGGCACACATCCCTGCATCCCATGTTCCTGGGCACACATCATCCCTGCATCCCAGGTTCCTGGGCACACATCCTTGCATCCCAGGCACACATCATCCCTGTATCCCGGGTTCCTGGGTACACATCCCTACATCCCAGGCACACATCATCCCTGCATCCCAGGTTCCTGGGTACACATCCCTGCATCCCAGGCACACATCATCCCTGCATCCCGAGGCCCTGGGCACACATCATTGCTTCATCCTGGCACACATCATCCCGGCACACATCATCCCTGCATCCCGGGGTCCTGGCACACATCATCCCTGCATCTTGGGCACACACTGTCCCCACATCCCAGGATCCCCGGGGCAGCACCTCCCCCAGACAGGGTGGTCTCCCTGCTTCAAAAAGCCCTTCTTTGTGCCCAAAATCCCTCCATTCCCCACACCCGGATCACACCCTGGAGCAGGCAGGGCCCAGTGCGGGGGAGAGACGGTTTATTAGTGACTGGTTTTGCTGCAGAGCACGGGGCGTCCCAACTCCCCCAGAGAGCTCAGCCCCCCCGGCTCCTGCACGGACCCCGTGCTGGGGGGCTCTCAGCTCTGCCCCCTCGAGCCAACCCACATCAGCAGAACACCTCCATCCCGGCACGGTGGGGGAACGACAAGGAGCCAGGCAGCAGGGCCACAAACCCGGGGGTCCCAGCCCTGGGGGTCCCCCAGCCCCTCCTGGGATGGGCTGGCATTTTCCACTATAAATAAGGTTTCAGCCCTCTCCCCCTGCTTGGGGCATCAGTCCAGGGCTGTGCAGGAGGGGGAAAGCCATGCCCCTGGGCAGCAGGGAGGGCAGGGGGGCAGCGGGGAGCCGAGGGCGGGTGGGGGTCCCCGCTCAGCCCAGGATGTCCAGGTAGACGGGGGGGGTCTTGACGAGGGCCTGGAGGCGGCTGTGGATCTCCTTGATGGGCCGGCGCTGCTGGGGCTCCCGGTGCCAGCAGCTCTGCATGATGGCATAGACCTCGGAGGGGCACGTGCGGGGACGCTCCAGCTCCCGCCCCTGAGTGATGCACTCGATGGCCTGTGGGAATCGGGATGGAAATGGGATCCCCCCGCTCCAGGTACCCCCTGGGGGGGGAGGGAGTCTGTCACCATCCTCCTCCCCTCTGCCTGCTCACCTCGGTGTTGGAGAGCTGGTACCAGGGCTGCTTCCCGTAGGTGAAGATCTCCCAGAGCACCACGCCGAAGCTCCAGATATCACTCTCGGTGGTGAACTTACGGTACAGGATGCTCTCGGGGGGCATCCAGCGGATGGGCAGCATGGTCCTGCCTCCCACCTGCCCACGGCAGGGCTGTCAGCAGGTCATCTCCCCCCATCTGCCCCCCTCATCCCTGGCCCCACTCATTAAACCTCAGACTAGATGTAAGGAAGAAATTTTTCATGGTGAGCCCCTGGCACAGGTGGCCCAGAGAAGCTGTGGAATATTCGTTGGAAACATTCAAGACTGGATTGGACAGGGCTTGAGAAACCTGGTCTAGTAGAAGGTCACAGGTTGGACTGGATGACTTTTAAACGTCCATTCCAACCCAACCCAACCCAACCCATTCTGTGGTTGAATACAGATGGAGACAGGGTGGGGGGCAGCAGCTAAGAGGGAAAATCGAGCGTGGCCCCCACAGCCCATGGCAGAGCTGGGGGGGGGTGGGAGCAAGGGGGCAGCTCACCCTGTAATAGTCGGTGCTGTAGATGTCCCGGGACATGCCGAAATCCCCGATCTTCACCACCAGGTCGTGGCCCACCAGGCAGTTGCGGGTGGCCAGGTCTCGGTGGACGAAGTGCAGGGAGGCAAGGTAGACCATGCCCGAGGCGATCTGCGTGGCGATGTGCAGCATGTGGCCCAGGGCCAGCGGCCCCTGGGGCTGGCCCGGCCCCTGCTCCAGGATCTTGGCGTCGGGGCCGTGGGACCTGCCAGGGGGGCAGAGGGGCTGCTTGGAGTGGGGGGCTCAGGGAGGGGCACGGGGAGGGTGGGCAAAGGCAGGGGGAGGGCTGTGCACACACGGGTGACTGTGCCAGGGGATGGAGGGCACGTGTGTGTGAATGGACACAGGGAAGGGCTGTGCACACACAGGAACATGTGCCAGGGGATGGAGGGCACGTGTGTGTGAATGGACACAGGGAAGGGCTGTGCACACACAGGAACATGTGCCAGGGGATGGAGGGCACGTGTGTGTGAATGGACACAGGGAAGGGCTGTGCACACACAGGAACATGTGCCAGGGAAGGGAGGGCATGAGTGTGTGAATGGACACAGGAAAAGGGCTGTGCACACACAGGAACGTGTGCCAGGGAAGGGAGGACACGTGTGTGTGAATGGACACAGGAAAAGGGCTGTGCACACACAGGAACATGCGCCAGGGGATGGAGGGCACGTGTGTGTGTGAATGGACACAGGGAAGGGCTGTGCACACGGGTGCCTGTGCCAGGGAAGGGAGGGCACATGTGTGTGTGAATGGACACAGGGGAGGGCTGTGCACACATGGGAACATGTGCCAGGGAACAGAGGGCACGTGTGTGTTCTGCACAAGGAAAAGGGGTGCACGTGTGTGTGCACACACACGGGGAAGGACGTGCACATGTGCACACACGCACGTACATACATGTGCATCCTTCCCTGGCGTGTGTGTGGACAGGGGAAAGGCATGGACATGTGTTCACGTGTGCACGCCAGGGAAGGGCACACACGTGTGTGCACACACAAGGGAAGAGCACATGCTCGTGTGCATGCCAAGGAAGGGTGACACGTGTGAGTGCACACAGGGGAGAGGTGTGTTCACATGTGTGAAAAAGCATGTGTGGGGGGGTGTGTGCACAGGTGCCAAGGCAGGGCACACACGCATGTACATGCACACTGGAGAAGGGCACAGACACACATGCAGACAAGGGAAGGGCACACACATGTACGTGTACACAGGGAAGGGCACACACACACATGTGCACACACACAGGAGAAGGGCACACACACACATGTACATGCACACAGAGAAGGGCACACACACACACGTGCACACACACAGGAGAAGGGCACACGCACGTACATGCACACACACACACGTCCATGCACACAGGGGGAGGCACATACACACACACACATGCATACAGGGAAAGGGCATACATACATACATGCACATGGGCAGGGCACACACACACATGCACATGGGCAGGGCACACACACGTGTGCGCACTTGGCAGGGCACACACATACATACACATGGGGGGAAGGGCACACACAGACAGGCACACTGGGCAGGGCACACACA